GCATGTCATGACGTGTTTACATGTCATATGCTATTACATTATGACTGCTATAGTTGTCACCATCACCAAGGGGTTAAGCTTTTTATAATTTTCCCATATTTATATATTTTTATCTCTTACTAAATGTATGAATGGCACACACACAAAGAAGTTCTACCTCTAGTGGCAGATGATAAGTAATTTACTGTATGATGTAGAGCATCTTCTACCAAGGAATGAATGAAAACATCCCAGGACAAAGATAAATGTCTATAAATAAAATACTACACACTGCAAGAAATTTCGGTGGGCATACTGAGCTCCTCCATTTTGTTAGTAAATATAGGGACAAATTTGCTTACTTTATTGGCAAATTATAGCAGTGGCACAACTCCCAATAAAAGTAATTTGTTATGCCCCTGCTGCTGCATATACACTGAAGTCTTACAGATGGCCAAGGGAAAGTGAGACCTTCTACATTAAGTACTTTTTAGAGTGTGGGCCTTTGCTTTTGCCTTCATCTGCAACAGATGATATCTACCTGAAACTTACTCTTATTACAAATCTATAATCATTCAGTTATACGTTTCTACATCTTTTATTCTGTTATTATCATAGCAACAGAGTACTTTCAGCATAGAATGGTACCCCTATTTCTCACCATGTACACTGGTACTACTTAAAGAAATAAAAACAAAGAAAAAACTAAAACATTATCACTTACCAGGCTGGTGACACAGAGAAAACACAATGTCACCAATCCCAGCTGTCTTCAAGCAATTCTCTGCCTGTGCAGTAGCAAGCTTGCCAGAATGGTTCATGAAACTGGAACAGCCAATATTGGAGGAAGAGGAGGGTGTAGGAGAGGATGTGGTAGGAGAAGATGGAGTGCAGCATTTAGGTTGTCTGGCACGACATGTAAAGTAAGAAGGAGGTGGGGTAGGCATCGGAAGTAGCAGAGACTGGAGCATCTAGAATTAGACAGGAAAAGGAATTTGACTAGAGGAGAGGGGGAAGAGAGGTAGGATGGTTCTGGGTAAGAGAAAGAGATTCTGTGGGAGATGCTGAGACATCCTGAGAAAATGGGAAGGGAGCACAGCAAAGATTTTTTTTTAATAGTTATGCAGGCGATGCATGTGCAGATTCCTGGACTGGCCTGTGTACCGATTTTGATACCACCCTAAAACCGGGATTATTGGCTTCCAAATGGACCGCCACTTGTGGGTTAAGAGAGAAGTGATGATGGACAGAAATAGGTTTGTTAGTGAGGTCAGTCGGGGTAGATAGTGCATGAGCTCGGGACTCAGATGTAACTATGACAACGTGTGAACAAACAGAACAAATGCAAAAGGAAACTTGTTTTTGGAGACATTGTTGGAAGAGAAGGGTATTGTCAAAGGAATGGGCTGTAGGGGGAATCACAACGAATTAATCCCATGTAGAGGTGGAAGCAGTAGAAGGATGAGGGCGAGAAGATGGGTAGCGTGGAGCGAGGTAGTATTGTGGGGAGGAGGAGGGTGAAAGTAGTAATAAGGGGAAAGTAGACAATGAAGACTGCACATATGAGATAGAGTGCCCCTACTGAGGGTAAAAAATCTTCATTATTGGCCATGGTGAGCCATGGTTAAGGGCTGGGCTATTATCCAAGGGTATATCATGCCCATGGCTCCAAGAGGCAGCTCACAACTGACACAAAGCATAGCCTTTCATTTTTTCAGCATGGCTCTCACACCTAAGGAAATGGAGAGAAGAAGGGGATGAAGAAGAGAAAGAAAAGGGAAGGGGAGAATAAAACTCCATACAAAATTAGAACGAGGGTGAGGTCCAAGGCAGGGGTGATCACTATTATTGGCCTCATTCACTGTCTCCTTAGCTCCCCCATGACAACAATAAGCAAGATTTTTTTTTTTCTCTCTTTTATTTTCAAGTGTAATGTCTTAACATTTAGATGGCTTTACTAACAGTAGGCTTGGCTTATATAAACATACCATCCCTGTTGCCAATGGGTTATGCAGTCAGCACATAATGATAGAGCTGCTCTCTGTTCTTTCCTTTTGTTACCAACTACTGATAATCAGCAACTTTCTGAGCATCTTTTACTAGACACACAAAATATATTCACCCAAAATTATGCAAACCTTTTTCATTTGCTGCCCCCTGGCAAACTTTCAGCTCATCCTCCTCACTTCAGAGCTCCCACTCATTGAGCAGACTTTGAAAGCTGAAGTCATCCTTGATACCCAAACTTGTCCCTACAACCAGTTCAGCAGTAGCAGCCAGCTCAGCACCTGCCATAACCAAGCTTACCACAGCAGTTTGTCAACTCTAGCTTTAGATTATCCATAATATTCCAGAGCCAAAACATGGTTCTACACTAACTCATGGAGAATGAAAGTACGGTACATATAACCAGGTAGCTCCACTTCCATTTAGCCTGTTGAACCCAAAATGAAATTTACTTTTCCCAACAGGAAGAAAATCTTCACTATCAAAAATAAAGGGGGGTTCAGTTTTACTTCTGGTTATTATAATTATATTGAGTAAAATATACAACCAATTATGTAACTAGTTATATCTGATATCTCACGAAGCACACTCATTGGTTAAACGTGATGACGTCATCAGCTTTACCCCATTTTTAATCCAGTTAGTCTGTGTTTTTTATTTTAGTTTTTTATTTATTTATTTTTTATTTTATTTTTTTTTTGAAAGTGGCTCTGTAATAACAATGGTAAAAAAATATCCAAAACAAAACCAACAAATAATGAAATTAAAGAAATTTATAATATTGGTAATGAATGAAGTCAAAGAGCAGGCTTTTCATCAATGTTAAATTACCTCATAATCAATGTTAAATTACCTTGGAATGAAGCTACAAAGGCCACCACAATACCATGTAATGGTAGGTACTATCACCTTAACGGTCGAGTTTTTGATGGGTTGCTCAGCCGATTTCTCTATTTGCTGGGGAGGCTTTTGAACTTTGTGAATGAAGGCTATAAACCACCTACTAGGCCGACCTCCTACTACACTTCTAGGTTTGGCACTCAGGCCTACAAGTGAAAACCTTCCTGCTCCTGACAAAGAAATGCCCCTCTATGTCTAAGATATCTCCTCTTGTCTAGGTTTTCTCATTAACCTAGGTTTATAACTATGATTCATCCTAGCCTCATCCAAGAACAGGCACCTACCCACCTTGTGCACACTTGAAGCAGCAAACATCTCATTCATCAATAATTAGCATCCACCTTGGAGCTGGCACTCTTCCAGTCATGGCTCACAGACACTACAATCCATACTCATTTATCAATGGGAATAATGTAAAAGCTCCTAAATGCCAAATGAGTCTGAATCACCCTCCAAGAGTTTGTGCACTGGTAGTGAGTCCTGGCCTGGCCTTCAGCTGAAACACTTATGATGACAAGTTTATGTCATCTGGCCTCCAGACAGATTTTCCCATAACAGCTTGTTGTCTTCACTCACCCTTAAGCCAGATTTTTTCATGGAATGATGGTCATGTCATCTGGATCAAAAGGATTAAGGGGGCCATTTCCGTATATTTTTGACAAATAAGTTTTTAAATACTTGAAAAAAAAAAAAAAATTCTTGTGTAATCTTTGGCAACCCACGTTGGCTTTGGCAACCCACTGACGTAATATTTCTGCAAAATACATAAGAATAAGAGTTATGGCTAAATATCTGACCCTTGCCCCCCGCCCCCCCACCTCCCGCTCCGATATTTACTTTGTTGTATCCGTGCAAAAATACTCGGCATAATTTTTGTTTTTTTTTTTCCATATTTTTTCGATTCATTTTGGTATTCTCTGGTAGCTAGCTGGCAACTCTGCTTACCCATCAGCTGACCGCCAAGACTGGGACTCTGGGAGACAAGATGTTGCCACTCTAGGAGACAAAATGTTACCAGCTCCTACCTCCACCGCACATCTTGCAGACGTATGCCCTCATCATACAGTAAGGTGACACAACTAATGGTAGATGTTATTTTTGTATCTAATAAACATTATATGATAATAATGCTCAATCACAGCTACAGCAGTTATTCATACTTATGAAATACCTCACATGGTCAGGTTAAGCACTGCAACGCCTGGATGACACGCGCTACTTCTAAAATCATGTGCAGTTATTACCATTAGTCCTTTGCAAAAGGGGGGTACCACGGACCAGCTACACCTCAGAATAACATGTGAATGCCATAGAATGTAGCAAGATTGATGTAGAGATAAGAATTAAAAAAAAAGGGAAACAAAACAAAACAAAAAAAAAAATTAGGGAAAAGTATCCTGGACTTTGGAGCCCGATATCTCAAAACTACACCTTTGTCACTTTGACGATTCTAATGTACTCTGGGTTATTTGAAAGCTGAATAAATTTGTGATTTTTCATATTTGAGGATAATAGAAGATAATAAGTTCTTAAGACTGAGCATTTAGAAAAAAAATAAATTCCCACTAAACTAAAAGGCAATTCAAAAATCCTTCTATTAGAGATTTTAGGCATTGCTATAGAGTATATGTGGTATTTTTTTCAACAAGTTTGGTTAATGGATAAAGTGCGAATATCAAATTTTGTGATTTTTCAAAAACCCGAGTTTTTTCAAAATAACTTTGTTGTTTATTATTCAAATTATAGGAAACTTTGCGGTGTTTATCACCATATTTGCATATATATCATATTAAAAAATTGCGAAAATCCGATCATTAATGACAAACTTCGTTCTCAAGCGCAACAGCCCCTTTAAGAGATAAAGAGATAAAGACTGTAGCATGTTACATAACACAATACCCACAGATTACTGACCAGTTTCTCAATTGTGAACAAACAGTGGATCCAGAATGGCTTTGATCAGCTGTAGTATAAACAAATTAAATAACTTTATATAATAAACATGTACACATACAATGAGGAAGCTATTCCTTTCCTTGATCACTAAAATTAGTTCCACATATATCTTATTCTTTACAACTTTGTGGTCACACATAAATAAAGGGTATTTGTAATTAAATTCATTATTTATTTTTCAGTGTACATCTTTCAAGTGCATACTGATAAATTGTCATATACCAATGGATTACAATATAAAAAATAATGCCTCTCATTCTTTAAAAATTAGATTATAGTGACACTTATAACATTTAAAAATTAATCTCAACAATGTGACAATAACATGACTTAGATATGAAGAAATAATGTATAAAAAATATTTACAAAGCATACAAGGACAAGAGTTTGTACTAGATATATATACAACATAAAATTGTCAGAGTCTTGGAGTTTTCCCTTTGGTGAAGATTGCCAATGTCCTCTTGCTCACTTGTCTGGAAATAAAAGACATTATTTCTTTTATAAAAAAAAATCTAATACAATAATTATGATTATCTGATACTTGGACATAGTCATAAGATATGTGATGGGATGATCAAAATTTAATTAGGACTGGTTTTGAATGCTTTTACATATGAAGAATCATCCTCATGATAGGGTGGACAGACGCTCATGAGTGAGTCACTAGACCCAAATATTAAGTGTTTATCAACCTCTCTACTGTGGCTGATATAACACCTTGTTTGGTTTCTAAATTCCCATTTCTGACTATTTCTGAAAGGGAGAGCAAATTTCCTTAACCCACTGGATCCTGTTGCGTCATGGAAATCTCAAGGCTGAAAATACGGGCAGTGGGCTATGTAAGTGGCCAATATCACAGGCGTGTGGCACGTAGGCCGGGCGTGCAAACATTCATAAGTAGTGAGAAGACTCTATGCCTCCACTTTGCAAAGTTATTTTACATAAACTTTTAGCTATTTTGCATTTTCTAAAGTCTGTATTTGTCTTTTGATTTATTTTATCCACATGGTAATAGATTATTTTCTTGCACAGACTCCACATATCATCTCTTTAGCTGGTAAAAAAAAGGAACATTTGGTTATTTGTAACATATATCAAATTTTTTCAAAATTTCCAATTTTCTATACTACAACCCCTTCTGCTGTTCACAGCTGTGAGGAATGTGATGCTGAACATGGAAATGACATCCTTCCTGGCACCAGTGGTCTTCCAGTCACAGCTTTTGCACATTACATTCTATATTGTTTATCAAAGGGAAAAAAGCTAATGGTCCATTCTAAATGCCAAATGAGTCTAATCACACTCCAAGACATTTGTGCACTCATGGCAAGTTGTTTCCATCCCCCTGGGCTTTGCTCATGACAGCACATTAGCATCACCTGGCTCAAGGCCATTTTATCTGATGATGGCACATTCACGTCACCCGGCTCTTGACCCAGATTTTTCCATAATCGTTAGGGGTTAAGATTTGCATTTATTGGAAAAATACTTTTCAGTGATGGTTCCACTATACCCAGTGTTCCCAACCTAAGGCTTTCTAGGGGGCATTTAGTAATAGACTTCCAATTAAACTGGATTTTTGTCTTACCTGAAGTACCTACAGACAATTCCCTCATATATCAATAAACTGGAATCTTTCCATGTTGCGTTCTTATCCTATAGCTGCTGGGACCATTACCCTATTCATAACAAGTAAAAACTGAATCTGAAAAGACGACAGGCAATGAGCAGGGCCATGGAGATCAATACATTTGGTTGGAGACACAGATTAGAAAAGGTTGAAAACCACAGCACTATACCCTCTGGCCTACAATGAAGGATCCAGGTTTAACTGACAAAATATGAAAAGAAATGTCTTACCTGGCAATATGGATTGGAAGGGCTGGTGGAAATAAGACTAGAAGGTGAAATGGGGATGACTGGAGCACATAAACCTTATAACTGTCTGTGGAAACATATGACTCCAAAGGTAGGTGGTCTGGATGGAGCTGGAACCCAAATAAAAAAGTATTAAAATTTTGGACCTTTATAAATTGCTGTAAACAAAGTACAGTTGGCCCCTGTTTCTTATTGATATCAAACTAAACACATTTGATATATAAATATAATGCATAACAACATTAGCATATCATTCAGTTGCAGCATTACATATTATAATACAACTTAATATTCTTATTATTCCCTTTCAAGGCAGTTCTTACTGATATTCCACCACAGATTAAGCCATTGCTGCTAGGGATATCTTGGACTTACAGGCCATGGCCACTGTGATGTTAGTTCATTCATTATCTACACACAAGTGCTTTGCCACCAAGGAGTCAATTACTATTCCTATCTTTTCACCCCTGTCCTTGATTTTCAAAATTAGTATATTTCTTTTATTACTATTAGTATTGTTAATATCATAATAATTATAATACAAATATTGATACCAATAATATCAATTATTGGAAAAAATATATCTTTTCTCCTAAAACTCAAATAACGGGAAGACAGAGTAGTTCAAACACACCTAATAAACTGATTACTTGATTTCTGAGCAACTGTGTAGCCATCTATGTATTAAAACAATTCACAAAACAGTACTACTGTGGACATTCCATGTAAATTGCAGCATCTTAAGAGTGTTTAAATTACTAATTCCTAGATTTGCTATGCGTCACTAAAAGTTTTCTGTATGAATACTTTCATTTCATGTGCAAATTATTCTACCTAATGAAGTTATACAATGCATACAGTGTACAGCTACAGTGCGTCCTGGAGTAGTGGTCATGACACCAATTGAACATCTAGAACCTAATCATTTAACTCATTTATACAGTAAAGCTGTTGAAAAAGGGAGAAAGCTCTGGGCCACTTTCTAACAGTCTCAGAAGCTGTTGTTTCAGCTTTAGCATTATGGCTGGAACAATCTTCAGGCTTGTCTTTTAATCACCAACAGAATTATCAAAACTATCCCTGTGTGCAAATTCTTTAGAAACATTAAAATACAAATAATAAAATGACATTGTTCAGGATCTTTTGATGCATGATATATATATATAGTATATATTATATATATTATTATATATATATATATATATATATATATATATATATATATATATATATATATATATATATATAATATATATATATATATAATAATATATATATATATAATATATATATATATACATATATATTATAATACATATATATATATATATATATATATATATATATATATTATATATTATATATATATTAATATATATATATATATATATATATTATACATATATATATATATATATATATATATATATATATATATATTATATATTATATATTATATATATATATATATATATATTATACATATTATACATATTATATATATATATATATATATATATTTATATATATATATTTATATATATATATTTATATTTATTATATATATATAATTATATATATATATATATATATATATATATATATTATACATATTATACATATTATATATATATATATATATATATATATATATATATATATATATATATATATTATTATACATATTATATATTATATTATACATATTATACATATTATATATATATA